ACAGGCATTTTACATTTCTGTTAACTGCATTTTTTTTTTTTTTTTTTCAGTTTTGGCCCAGGCTGGGCTTCAACCCACCACCCCCAGTATATGGGGCCAGCGCTCTACTCCTTGAGCCACAGGTGCTGCCCTGTGTTACTGAATTTTTTAAAAAACTTTAGCATTTCCTTCAGATTCTTCCCTGGAGATTTCCTCTCTCTGTTTATATACCTGTTTTGTTTTTGCATGCTATTGACTTTTTAAATTTAGAGCCCTTAGCATATTAATTATCATTATTTTAAATTCCTGAGCTGATAATTCTAAAATCTCTGTCATATCTGAGACCATTTATGATAATTGCTTTGTCTCTTCAGACTGTACTGTTTTCCTTTAACCTGGCTTGAAATTTCCCATTATAAGCTGAACATGTACCAGCAAAAGGATCTGAGATAAGGAAGCCTTTAATGCGAGGTTTTATGTTTATCTGGCTCTGTTTACTCATTGTAGAATTGTGGTGTCAGAGGCCAGGATTTCCTCTAGGACACTTTTTTTTCTTTTGATTGTTTTATTTGCGGTTTCCCTATAGACTCCCTCTTAATTAAGTAGGGTCTGAAGCTTATAGTTCTTTTACCTGTAACCCCCTATTATTATACAGGTAACCCATTGATGTGATGGTAAGGTAGGGGAAGAGGTGAAGCAGTCTATACTCCTGTGATGAGGTCATTCTTTTTGTGAATCTGTTTTTCTGGGTTGTGACCTTCATAGTGTTTCTCAGCCCCTTCCCCTTTCTTTGGGTGAGAAGGGTATTTCCCCTCCCCCAGGTTTCCTTCCCCTGCTAGAGATACAAGAGCGTTTTTCTCCTGTCTTTACCATGAGATCCTAGTGAGGTTCCTGGAAGTAAAACTTACAAAAGTGTATGGACCCTCTAAGGCTGCCCCCACCCCAGGAGTTTTGAATCTCTCAAGCTTGTCCTTGCTCAGTATCCAGCAATTAGTCAATTATGTTTGGAGTGTTTCTGTGAGAGTAGGAGCTGCTTTGGTTCCATTAGCTGTGATTCTGTTTTTATTTGTCTCTACAGTTTCTGGGAAGATGTTTGCCCTGTGACTTCAATTCTCTAATGGATACAGAGAGTTACTGATTTTGACTTAGTTTGGCTGATAGTTACTTAGTTACTAATTTTTTACTTAGTTCAGCTTTTTCTTGTGGTGAGGATGGGAATTATGACTTCCAAGCTCTTACATCATGCCAGATTGGAAACCAGATGTCTCAATTTTTGCTTCATTTTTTTGAGGGTCTGTTTGTTGCATACATATTTATAATCATGCATAATCTTTTAAAAAGACTGCTTTTAAAAAAATTATAGGTAATGTTCCTTTTTGTTCCTACTATTTTCATTTGTTCTGAATTCTGTTTTATCAGATATTAATATAACTATTCTGCTTTCTTTCAAAATTAATTTTATAGAGTGTATCTTTTTGCATTCTTTTACTTTTAACATACCTCTGTTGTTGAATTTGAAGTGAGTTGCTTGTAAATATCACCTGGTTATGTCAAGTGTTTTGTTTTTTCCTCCCACTCTACTCTGCCAATCTCTACTTTTAAATTGTTATTTCTTTAACTATTTATATTTATAGTGATTATTATAATTTTCTTATTAATTATTTGATATTATAACATACATATGTAACTTATCATAATAGACTTAAATATTTTAGACCTTCCAGTGAAATATGGAGTCTTGATTTTAATTTTAGGTCCTCTATCTTTTCTGCTTCTGAATATAGTCTATTATATTTACATTTCTGCTCTTTTCATTGTTCTTTATTCTTTTCTGATGCTCCATGATTCCTCTTTGTTGTTTCTTTTCTTTTTGAAAAAATTTACCCATTCTTTTGGGAACAAATTCTTTTGGTTTTCTTTTGTGTTAAAAAGTTGTGTTTCCATTTTATTCTTAAAGGATAGTTTCTTTGGATATACAATTTGTACCTGACAGTTCTTTTCTTTTAGCTTCTCCCCCCCTAAAAAACAAAACTTCATTTCCTCTGGTCTGTATGATTTCAAATAAGTAATCTACTGTCATTCAAATTAGCATTCTTTTATACATAATGTGTTATTCCCTTACATGGCTTTCACATTTTTTTCTTTGTCTTTAATTATTAAAAGTTCAATTATATTGGATTTTACTGTGGGCTTTCTTAGATTTATCTTTTTTTGCATTTACTCAATTTCTTGAATCCATGGATTTGTCTTTCACCACAGTTGGGAATTTTGTAGCCACTGTTTCTTCAAATAGTATTTAAGTCTCCTTCTTCTTCACTTTTTTTGGGATTTTTGTGATATAAATGTTGGGTTTTTGTTATTTTCTAGGTTCCTGAGGCTTTTTTCTTTTTATATTCAGTCTTTTTCTCTTTCTTGGTTAGGTTAGATAAAAATCTATTGATCTAGCCTCAAGATTGCTGATTCCATCCTGTCTTTTCCACTCTAATTTTCAGCTCATTGAGTGAGTTTTTAAAAGTTATATTATTTTATTTTTCAGTTCTGTAATTTCCATTAGATTTTTTTATAATTCTTTGCTGAACTTTTTTTTCTCTTGTTTTAAGAGAATTGAAATTGCTTATTGAATAATTTTATTTTTATGGAAATTGTTTTTAAAATCTTTGTCAGATAATTTGGATTCATCCTTAGTGTTGGTATCAGTTGTCTCTTTCCAAAAAATTATGATTTCTAGTTTAGGATGATGAGTGATTTTCTCAATGATTATATTCTAGATGATTCTTTCAACAATTATGTGAGGAGACTCGGATTCTCATTTAAATTTTTATTTTATCAGACAGTCACCCTACTTAAGTTTAGTGTTTGGGTTTTAGCCTATTTTTATGGGCTATGGTTTCAATGACAATCTAATTTTCAGAGCTTTTGTTATGCTATTTTGATCAGTTTGGTTTATTTGTGTTGCTTGGGCTCCTACTGTTCCATGTGTCTGTTGCTTAAGAGGACAGAAGGGGCTTCCCCAGTTTAGGATGTGTGGCCTCTATGTGGGTGGAAGGCAGCTTGGGCACACTGGGATGAAAGATATTCCAGGGCTTGTGATTGTCTTGGTAGGTTCCCCCTGCATCTGAGAATTAGAGAATGCTTGCCAGGCCAAACATTTGCTGTTATACAATACCTTTTCCTGGTGTCCACTGACTTTTCAGGGTCTGTTGTGAGACTGGGAAGTCTCAGGCTCTGTAGAAGGGAAGCATTTCCCGACCACTTATTATCAGCTTGATTTCCATTTAAACCCTTTGCCATTTTTTTCTTTTCTTTCTTTTTCTTTTTCTTTTTTGGCCAATTTTCACAATGTCAGTAGGACTCCTATCCCAGGTGAGGAAGGAAGGATCCTCTCTGGGATACCTTATGTTATTAGTTTGGGAATCAGAAAACACCAGTCATGTGGTTGCTTTCTTCTGTTAGGTGGGGAGTTGTAAGATGCTATGTAAACCACTATAGTTTTTCTTTAGCATTGGGGTCCTAATCAGTTAACCTCCCTCTTTCCATTTTTCATCTTTATAATTAGACTTATACTTACTGGTAAATTCACACCTATTGGGTACAGTGCACACTATCTGGATAAAGGGCACACTTAATAACTATAACTCTTTTTTGATAGTTCTCTAAATTTTTTCAGTGCATTTAAACAACATTTAAGTAGAACCAAAGATATTTACTATTACTAAAAATATATATGTTTTACTATTTTGTAGGGAATATGGGAGACTTAGACATAGAGTTACACTTATGAATTAGGATATAGAGGGTTTTTCTTTTTTATCTATAGAAGTTTGTTGGTGAAGTAAATAATTTTTAAAGTAGTATTATAAGAAAAGAATATTATTTTTAAAGTATCTTTTCCCCTCTAATGATAAGCTTCCAATTTGTTTTTGAAAGATTCTTGATATTGACTCCATTATAAAGTTACCAGAATTGCTTTTTTTCTTTTTCTTTCTTTTTTTCCTGAGGAATAAGTAGTTGAGTGTGGCAGTGGTGGGAAGTGAGTGGGCTAAGTATTTATTTATTTATCTTTATTTAGGCAGAGATCTTACCTAATAAGTGAGTTGTAACTGACTTGTAACTCGTGATGAGGTAGAAATTAGCATAAGTTCCAGATCCCAGTTCAGGGCCCAGTGATAACAACCAATGAATTTGAAAAAAACAGCACCAAATGGTCAAGCATGCTAGAGAAACTGATTGAATTAATCCACTTTCATTTTTCTCTCACCCTAATACCATGATCACTGTAATTTGTCTCCTCCCACTTCCTTTCTCTTTTTTAAGAAGGATGGTCTATACGCTTGCTTCTATAATTATTCTGTCTTCACTATGAAATGTACTCTTATCCTGTTGTATAGAGAGAATTAAGTCAGTGTCTGGCTCTGTCATTCGATCATTGCTCGTGCTGAGGAAGGGATGGTGCTAAACATCTACACTAGTCAGAGCTGTAGCTGATGCCGGGGCACTTTGTTTCTGAACATGAGTCACCTTAGGCATAAAGAAAGTTATCAATGTCATTTCTTTAGCCTCCAAATAGAGGCCATCCAATCCAAGAAAAATACCTTCCTCCAAATACACTGTGAGTCCTGACAAGGAGGAACATAACATTCCAAATGTTCAACACACAGCTAGTGGTCTTAGCAAAAATATGTCTTGAGATAAATCTGTGTGTTTGTTTAACATTAAACTTTCCCAGTAAGTATTTCATCATCTCAAACAGATTTTATCTTTAGTGTAAAAATTACTGTGGCTTTATTTTAATTGCAAAAATTTTTAATGTTATTTCCGGTTAGCATGCTAACCATCTTTGTTGCAGAGGTGAAATATAACTCCTAAAATATATTCTCATTCTTTCTCTCTCTCTCTAACACACACACACACACACACACACACACACACGCTCCTTTAAACCTGAGAGTAAAGGGAACTGTATTAGGGTGGTGGTAGTAGATAGCAAAGTAGATGTCATCTCTCTCATGCTTGTCTTTCAGATGGAACCCCACTGAGTTGGTGGGTTGGAAGAACCAATGAAACACATACTTACTGGGGAGGTTCTCCATCTGATGCTCAAAAGTGTACTTGTGGATTAGAAGGAAACTGCATTGATTCTCAATATTACTGCAACTGTGATGCTGACCGGAATGAATGGTGATTTCCACATGATTTTCCTGCACAAAAATGTAGTTTTTATTCCTTAATTATGCATAGTTAATTAAATATCAGACAAGCTGGTACAAAAAGGTAACTAGATTAAAGTATGTTCAAGCAAGTTAAAAATATGTTTTGATGAAATATGATCAATTAATCTAAAGATTAAATTTCATGACCAAAGATTTACTGTTTCACGGTGAATGCTATATAATGTGCATTTTGTATTTCTCAAAATAGAAGCATCTGGTAAGTTTTCCATCTATTGGAAATCAAATATCAGTCTCTTTGAAGTTTAATTTAATTAATCAATCAAGTATTCATGTACTTAGCAGCAACTCAGAGGTGAATTCCTTCAAATCTTTGTTATGATAGATTTGGAATATAAAGTTATTATTTTAGAAATTCACAGTAAACACTAACACGTTAGAACTCTGAGAGGTCCTGCATAAAAAGTCCAAGTTTATTTTGTGAAATCAATAATTTCCCATACTCATTTAACCCTTTTTTAGTACAATATTAAAGCTTTAAGAACCAAGTGTTTTGTAGCCCACACTGAAACAACTAATGCATAGAATTCAAGGAATTGAAAATTGTAGTTTAAGCTTTCTTTTGAGCATAAGAATTTTCTCATGTACATTTCATACATCTTTTTATAGAAGGTTTTTTGAGATTATTCTTGGTCTTACAATGAAAATGTTTTAAATCTCTGGTTCATGTCAGCAACTCAAAAACACTGTCATAAAACATCTAGAACATGTAGATTACATTCTTTTAAAAAAAATTATAATCATCGATCAGATGTCAATATAGTTGATTCAGCTATAAAATAGCTAAACAGTAATTTGATTCCTAAAATAAAAATCATAAAATAGGATGGCTTAAATATATCCAAGTGTACAAGTAATCACAATAAATGTGAATGAACTCTCTATTCATTTAAAAGCCAGACAGGCATTATGGTATTAGATTTTTAAAGAAGCTATAGCTTGTTTATAAAAGATTAAAACATAAGCAAGCACTCAGTAAAGTTGGAAGTAAAAAAAATGAAGATACTTTCTAGTTAAATACAAATCCTCAAAACAAATAGACATAGCTGTATTATATGAGACAAAGATAAAAAGCATTATTAGGTATAAAATTGGAAGATATCTAAAGCTGAGGTTAATTCACTAGAAAGTTCTAACTACACTTGTATGCATCATGACATTGTTTAAAATATATAAAGAAAAAAACAAATATGCAAAGGGAAAGTGACACATTATCCAAAATAGTGGGATAATTTAACATAAAATTTTTGAGAATCAACAAAGAAGCAGATAGGATGATTATGCTATAATGAACAAATTTGAGGTTGCAGCCTTATGCAGTTATACAATATATGTCACTCTCAAGCAAGTGTAGAGCATTTTAACAGATTTTAGAGAATTATCATTGTAGAAACTGTATCCTTAATTGCAGTTTGTTATAAATTGATAACAAACCTATAGTTCTTAAAATCTCAGATATGTGCCAGTTAGAGACAAAAAAAGGAAACTAAATACATGGAATACGTGGAAATAACAAAAAGGTTGGAAAAGAAGATACTAGATTGTATCTAACAAATGCAATCAGCATAACCTAATTCTTTGTACCCTCAATGAATCCCAAACAATTAAAAAAAAAGATACTAACAATACACAGGACCACTCTTACCACAAAACATCATCTAGTCCAAAACAGCAATAATGCTGTTGATAGTTGAGAAATTCTTTTTTAAAGATGTAATTCTCCACAAATTAATCTGTAAATTTAATGAATTCCAAATAAATACCAACTGTTCCATTTATCTGTATAGATTACAACAAGCTGATTGTAAAATTAATAGGGAAACTAAGAGTGCAAGAATAAGCAAGATAATTTTTAAGCTGAAAAACAAGGGGAAGAGACTAATCCTATTTAGACACATTACATTGCAGTATTGATTTATGCTGCTTGAATCAGCTAAGCAATAGATAGATCAACCAATTAAACAGAAATTGAGAGCCTGGAAATTTTTTAAATGGGTTAGATGTGGATCATAATGATTTTGTTATTACTGACTTACTCCACCTGAAAAATCAGTAAAACTTACAGTTGACTCAACATTTCTCCCTTTTAGCTTTCTTAACAACCCTGTTCCCCAATTTGTAGCTGTGCTTTACATCAGATGAATTCTCCTGGCAAACAATGAGTAGTCGTTTTTGGAAGGTTTTGCACTTCATAAGTAAGAAAGTATAATTTCTTAAGCAATAGGAACTTTCAAGTGAAAAGTGAAATGCTCCCACTGAATTTTTAATACTTCTATAAGAAATTATTGTACCTTCAAATGCACTATTTCCAAGCTTAGCCTATAGTATACAGTTTAGAATATAATAGGAAGAAACAAAGAAAAATGAGAAGCCCCTATAGATTAAGAAATTTGGAGGAAGTCTGATACCTATCACAAATCTGCAAAGGTTGGGATCTGCCTATACCAATAAGAAATTGATGGAAAAATGTTGGCCATCCTCATGCTCATACTGAGAACACCAGGCTTTCTGAGACAACTGGAAAAAAAAGACCTTGTTATTAATATCTGCCCTAATGCAACTACGATGCACTATGGATACCCCCTACACGTTCTCAGTATTTTGTGCACACTTTCAGTGTTAAAAATGAAATGAAACTTGCAGCTTTAATGCAAAATGGATCTTTAAAATTCAAGCATCCTCCAGTAATAACTAATAGAATTATATTTCCTCTCTAGGTTATCTTGCTAAAATGGCGATTATAGAAGCTAAAATAGTTATTCCTACATTAATAAAAAATTTCCCAGACTGACCTGCCTCATTCCCCAGAAGCATATTTCTAGCTTGTCTACCACTAGTCTACCCCAAAGCTGGGTGGTGACAATATAAGATAATCCATGCTCCATTATATGCATAAACATGAGTAACAGAGTCGTAACTCGGTAAGGCAATGGAATTTTAGTCTAACTTTATACATAATTTTTTAGAGAAAGATTTTTATCTTTCTTTACCATTAAACATTTCATTATTTTCTAAGATTTTTAATTCATATTAGTTTATATCTCTTTATATTGCTGATTTTTTTTATAAGATAAAAATCTTATAAATATAGTCATTTGGCCAGGTGTGGTGGCTCATGCCTGTAATCCCAGCACTCTGGGAGGCCAAAGCAAAAGGATTGCTTAAGGTCAGGAGTTTGATAACAGCCTAAACAAAGTGAGACCCTGTCTCTACTAAAAATAGAAAAATTAGCTGGGCATTGTGGCAGGTGCTTATAGTCCTAGCTACTCAGGAGGCTGAGGCAGGAGGATCCCTTGAACCCAGGAGTTTGAGGTTGCTGTGAGCTAGACTGAGGCCATGACACTCTAGCCTGGGCAGCAGAGTAAGACTTTGCCTCAAAACACAAAATTTATATATATAGTCATTTTATTTTAGTTCTGTCTTTTCAAATTTGAAATTTTGGTACTGGAGTCTTTTATAAAAGAAGTTGGTTAATGAGTACAAAAATACAGTTAGATGAAAGGAATAAGTTCTCATATTTGATAGTATAAATGAGGAATTAAAGCTAATAATAATTTATTGTATATTTCAAGAAATACACAAAAAAGAATTGTAATGTTCCTAACATGAAAAAAGATAAATATTTGGATGTCTCAGTTACCCTGATTTGATCATTACATTGCACTTGGGTATAAAAATATCAAATGTACCCTGGAAATATGTATAACCATGATATATCAGTTAAAGTTCTTTTATTTAGAAAACTTTTATTTTGCAAATATAAAATGATCACATTGATTAATATTAGTTATTCTGACCTTTTACCACAAATCCAAACAAAGGAGAGTTTGGGAACAGAACAATTTAAAGAAAACAGTATTTACTATATTCTAGACCAGAATAAGGAACTGGGCTAAGAATGTTTTGTCTATACACATGCCATTGAGGCAAAGGGATATGATATCTTATTACATCATATATATATGTGTGTGTTTGTGTGTGTGTGTGTAAATATAAGCATAGAAGTATTTTTTGCAAAAGAGTAGACAAATGTCTTTATTTGGTCAGAGAGGAAATAGGTTCATAGCTAGAACCAGGACCTCTGGGTCTCAGCTTTTTCTCCAGGGCCAGAGTACTGTGCAATGATTTTCCCATGAATGATAATGATGATGACAATTCATATTCATGGTGTCCAATAGGCTGTGTGCATTTAGGAAACAGATATTGTATTCCTTGCTGTGTGCTCTCAGTGTCTGGCACAGTGCCTGCCCAATAGAAGGTGAGCACCAATGTATGTCAACTCAGTGTCTGGAGACAGCATTTCACATATTCACATGCATTAGTCTGTGTTTACTTGTAAGGATGTTGTATTTATTTTGGTTTTGAACACATGGAGCCATTTTTTTCAATTCTGTAAGAAATTATTGTACCTTCAAATGCATTATTTCCAAGTGCAAGTAACCATAAAAGGAATTTAAAAAATGATGACAAATTAATATTCTGTGAAATAAATATCTAAATCTAGTGTCACTACTTATATTTATAATTAATAATCACTTAGATATTACCCTAAGACTAATTTTAGAAGAGATGTTATGTACTTAATTGTTGTTAAAATGCCCATGCTTCCAAAATGACCATCCTTCTGATTTTGCCCCTTTCTCCTCCCTGGTCATTTACATCAGGAATTGGCAAATAGGGCAAGAGTTGGGAAACTATTGCTTGTTGGTCAAATCCAGCCCAATGGCCTGTTTTTATATGGCCCATGAGCTAAGAATGGTTTTTTTTTTTTTTTTACATTTTTAAATGGTTGAAAAAATGAAGAATATTTCTTGACATATACAACTTGTATGAAAATCAAATTTCAGTGTCCATAAACTTTCATTACAACATGCCCACACCTGTTGTCTGTGCTGTTTTCACATGCCAGAGGTAGAGTTAAGTAGTAACTACAAGAAGCTGTGAGGCCTGTGAACCCCAAATCCCTTACTATATGGCTTTGTACAGATAAAGCTCACCAAACCTCGATTTAGATTCATCATAGTCTCTGTTCTCTCAAAATATTGAAAATGTTTTTAAGTGTTCATTTAGGTCTTTTAGTGTTGATTTCAAATCACAATAAGGGAACATAACTAATTTTGTCAGCATGTTAATCAGGATAATTTTAAGAGTTTTGGTTGTTGTCTTTTAGGACCAGTGACACAATAGTCCTTTCCCAAAAGGAGCACCTGCCGGTCACTCAGATTGTGATGACAGACACAAGCCAACTGAATTCAGAAGCAGCTTATAGCCTGGGGCCACTGCTCTGCCAGGGGGACAGTAAGTGGCAAGAAGAAAGCTTTCTTTTCATAACATCTTTTGATTATAAAAGAGTAGATGAATGTTCTTGTTTTAGCCAGAGAGAAAATTGGTGGCAGTTCTGGGACCAGGATGGATAACAGAAAAGCGCATGTATTATGAAAACACTGTCTGTACTGAAGATCAATATTTCCTTAATGAAGAATTAGTGAATTATAATTCATTATAAAGAATGAGTTATCTTTGTTTTAACTTGTTACTTAGTTGGCTGGATTTATTGTCCATTTATTGTATTTCTTCTAGAACAGTCATTAAGTGAAGTATTTCCTCAGTTTGTGAAATGCTCAAGGATATTTATTCATTAGCCCTTTTTCAGACAACTGTAGTAGACCTTTGCACATATATTTCATCATTATATGGTACTGAGTGTTGTATTAATCTTTTTTACTGCAGTGTTTTCATTCATGATTGGATTCCATGATCAAGTTTTTCCTCACCCACCCAGGGTTTATGGGCACTACATTCCCAGAATTCTTTCAAGTCTGCAAGGATCTGCCCTAGTACATGAAAACAGCAACTTAGCCAATATAAAAATCTTATTTCACTGAGAAAAGCTTTGATACTGTCTTTTTTCACACTAGCATTTGTTTCTGTTGCTGTGGAGAAGTCTGAGACTAAATCTATTTTGATTTACTTCTCTGCCTCTGTATGTGGAGGATACTGCCAAGAGAGATAGTCCAGTGTGGACCCTGAGCATCCCTGCAAGTTCTTGCAGGTGTGCCAGATTGCATGGTGTCTCCAGAATCAAGTGGTTTCTGTGAACAGTTATACAGGCAAATAGAGAGTATATAGTGTCTCTGCCAATGACACTCACTCCCAAGAGAGTAGGGGGACTGGTTTGTTTGCTACTTGCTCCTGGACACTTATCAGATGGGCTCCTCATCTGAGATGCAAACCTACTGTGTGCATCGCTTTGTTTTGAGATTTGGAGATAAAGGAAACTGTTGCAAATATTCTAATGCTCTTGCTGCTTGCTGTGCTGTAGCAAAGTTCCTTGACATTGACCCAGAAAGATATTTTCTATCACCATCCATGAAAGTAGCAGGCTAAATTGTTAGCTTGCAAGTAGGGTGAAATCTCAGACTCTTTTGCAGTTTTTGACAAACGTGCTATCCTTCAATTTCAAAGTTTATCCAGAATATGCCTCAGGGTTCATTATGCTGTGTTAATTTTTCCTAAAATAAAGCATGCTTATTTGACCTAAATATTCTGATATCAATTCTCCTTTAAGAAAAATAGTCTTAATGTTTTTTCATGGAGAGAGGTCTTACGAAAAGCCCAGGCTAGAGTGCCATGGCATCATTGTAGTTCACTGCAGCCTCTCACACTCCTGGGCTTATTATGATGCTTTAAATACATTTTTTGTTTCATTTGTTGGTTTTTCTGCATCTGGAACTTTGTGTTGACCTGTCGTCCTTCACCCTCTGTATGTTTTCTGGTTTTCTCCAATCGCTTTAGTCTCATCCTTCTCTGCATTCAATGTGATTATCATAAGTTTTTCAGTCATTAGATAGTAGCTGCATTAATTCCATGCCTGGATGTTTCTTATTTAGCTCTTATTTCAGCAATGATTTTGTTTGGATCTCTATTTTTCCTTAAAAATCTCTTTTAATGTATTTGCAAATTAGCTGATCCTTTAGCTCTAGTTTTACTGAATTAGTATTGTATTATTCCTACACTGTGAAACTTTTACAAGGATTTTTCTTCCCTTGGGTTGTGTTTTTTGGATCCTTTTTTCCACATTTGTCTGCTATGATCTACTTTCATGTTTTTCTTTCCTCCCATTCAGTCTACCTTCTGTATACTTCTTCCTTCTCACTTTCCTTCCCTCCTTCCTTCCTTTTCTCCCTTTACAATGTGTTTGTGTAAGTTGCTATGCTTCCTTATCTCGTTACAGTTCAGACATTTAATTTATTTATACAGAATATAGTTGAACTCTTCTTGACATCTGTCTCTTCACTATTAGATGTGTATTTCTATCCCTTCTGAACTGTAATCACAGGACTAGAGTCTGTCACTCTATCAGCTTTTGTTCATAATTTAAGATCTTGAGTTGGTGAGAGAGGGGTCTGTTAAGTTGTATCTGGCTTACTAACTGTCTCTGTACTGTTTTATCTTCAATAATTATTTAAAAGGCCTTGCATCAGTTGTCATATCACAACATGGAGAGCACATCCTATACTCATGTTAGGGTATCTATAGGCTTCAGGTTTTTTCCACAATTCAGCATTAGCCCCTAAAAATTTGGAGCATCTCCCCAAATGCTCTCATCATCCTCAACTGCTTTGTATTTGTTGATTCCCCAGGGTGAAAATATAAGGTGAAACTGGATAATCTTGTGAAAAAAAAGTAAAAATAAGCTCAAAAAATAATGGGAACTTATTAAAAAGACATGAGAGACAGCTGAAAGGGGCCTCTATTGACCACATTTGGGACAATTTAGGCATCAAAATAAGTTACATATTATAAACCACTGAATAGAATGGAAATCCAGGAGCGACATAAATTTAAATAAACAAATAAAAAGAAAGTCAAGAGAAAAGCTCTTATTACAGAGGAGTGCCAACCAATTAATGTAGAAGGGACAACAGAACTTAGAAAATTGCCACTGGAAGCCATAATAATAATAATACTTCAATCAAGAACTATCAATAAATTATAAAACCAGTGGATGACAGTTTTAAAAAAGTGGGTAAGGATGTTTCCATAGCCTTGACAAAACATAGATGAATTACAAAGAGAAAAATAGTACCTTCATATTGGAGAAACTTGACAAATACCACTTCATGAGGGAATCAAAGAAAATACAAGTAATGGGGCTCATCAACACTGCCTCCTGCTGGTGTAATAGACGGAGAAGAACACAGAACCACCTCGGTGGGAATTTTGACAAAAAAAAAATAGCATGAATCTAATCATGAGTATGTCAGACAGATCCAAATTGAAGAACATCCAACTGAAAAATGCTGTAAAGAAAAAAAAGTCATAAAAAAGACCAGAACAGACTGACCCATAGTTCCAAAATGGACACTAAGGAGACAAATTTCACTATTGGAGAAATACATGCAACAGGTTCTGGAATAGAAGGAAAATCATAGTTTATTGTTCTTGTTTGTTTTGGCTGTGGTGGAAATTATTAGGACAGTTTTCTTTGCTTGGGAGAAAGACAGAAAACCAAGTTCTGTGCTCTGTTTTCTAGAGTCATATCCAAACCACTTGGATGCTCATGGATAGCTCAAATTTAACATGTCTCAAACTCAGCTGCTTCTCAAACTTGCTTCTTCAGAATTATTCCCCATTCCAGTTAGACCGAAAACCCTGGAGTCAACTCGGATCCCCCTTCCTCTCACATCCCACATCCAATTCATCACTTAATGTTGTTGCCTCTAATTTCCAAAGGATTCTGAGCCCCCAACTGTCTCAGCACCTCCTTTGCACTGCTGGTGTCATCTCATAAGTGGCCTCATTGCCTTTGCTTTGCTGCCTTGGCCTTTCTCAACACCGAATTCTGATCCTCCAGATAATCTCCATTTGGGGGTCGATGTCATGACTACATGACATGAATGTTCAGGACTCCCAGGAAAGCATTATACATATGATTAATGTATGTAGCAGTAAGAATCCTGTAAGTGTAAAATGTAAATGTTATTTTTTTTCATGACTTTTTTTTCCTTTTGTCTTTTTCTTTTTGTAAACAGAGTCATTTTGGAATTCAGCCTCCTTCAATACAGAGACTTCATACCTTCATTTCCCTACTTTCCATGGAGAACTCACTGCTGATTTCAGTTTCTTTTTTAAGACCACAGTTTCCTCTGGAGTGTTCCTGGAGAATCTGGGGATCACAGACTTTATCAGGATCGAGCTGCGTGGTGAGTCGCCCACATTTTTCAGTAATGGGATCACTATTATTATCAACAAATGCTTTAATGGAACAAAACTTTAAAGTATTCCCTTTCTTACTTTATAATTGTGTTTTATCAAGTACTAAGATTCTATGATTTTAATCATTTTTGTTTTTAAGAGAAATAAAACTATGAGGCATGAAACATGTAATAATTCATTAAAATGTCATGTCTTCTCTCAAATATAGCTGAGTACAGTTGGAGCTGGACACCAAACACATCCAATCATTTCCTGAGTTACTATTGGACCAAATGTATTGCTTTTCAAGTGCCCAAAGCTTAATTTATTATTGTCAAAATTTAAATTTAATGTTTTAAAATCAGATGAGGCTTTGGGCCATTTTAAAATAAAATTCCTTAAGTGTCTAAGACAAATAGTATTTGGTGTTCCAGCAATGGGTACATATCTCTATTACTGAGGACTTAGCAAGATTGAGGAGTGAACGGTAAAGATAAATATGTTAAAATCAGTTTTGCTTTGGTTTTATTCTTCCCCTCAACTCAGAGTAACATTTTTCTGTATCAATGTCATTGTTCCCTTTTATAATGAACATTGAATTAACTTGAGCAGTGTTTATATATAATATTTCCAGCTCCCACTGAAGTAACCTTTTCCTTTGATGTGGGGAATGGGCCTTGCGAGGTTACGGTGCAGTCACCCACTCCCTTTAATGACAATCGGTGGCACCAGGTGAGGGCAGAAAGGAACGTTAAAGGAGCATCTCTTCAAGTTGACCGGCTCCCTCAAAAGATACAACATGCACCTGTAGATGGGCACATCCGTTTACAGCTCAACAGCCAGCTCTTCATTGGTGAGTGCTGTTGGTTTATAATTGAACTTGATGTGGGGGTAGACATGGGCCAAGAGAAAATCAGAACTATAAAGTATAATGGCAACAATTGCAAACAACTGCTATGATTGGCACTATTTATTAATAGCCTAGTAGGTTCCAGGAAGTTGCTGTGTATTTCTCATTTAATAACTCATTATGTTGGTATTATTGTCACATATTTATAGATGAAATAAACAAGCATCAGAGGGTAGATTAAGCAACTAGCAAGAGAGGTCTAAGTGTATGACAGCTTATCCCCAAGCATGCACCATTCATATTACAAAGGATTGGCATCTGTGACATTTGTGACAGCTAAATTTTTATCAACCCTATTAGTGTGATAAAATTTCTAATTATCCATTCCTTCAGTTTCACCTCTCAGTGGAGTTATAATTAGGACAGAAGTCATCCAGTGTCCGCTAAGAGCAAGCACAGGAGACCTGGTCAGCAGAAGCAGTGGAGTGTGTCTTCTTGAACAAGGTTTCCAGGAGCCCCAGTCCGCCCTCCTTCCTGCCTCACTCTCCTCACATGCCTTTGGTTATAACCAGGGCCATTGCTCTGGGTCATGGAAGTCTGTCCTTTAGTTTGCTTATTTACTGTCTTATTTAACTTTTCAAAATACTCTATTCTAATTTAGGAGCCAAGCACAATCCAATTAAAAACTGAAATAAATCACAAATTATCACATTGCCTACTTTACAGGAGGATACATACAACTTCTGGATACTGAATACTGCACAAATCTCTGTGTGTGTGTGTGTGTGTGTGTGTGTGTGCGCGCGCGCGCGCGCGCATGTGTGGAGAGAGGTGTATACTGTGTATACCATGGCTCCCTAAAACCTAGTTCAAGCATTGTTAGTTCTTATATTAGGGTGAATGAGGCCACTTCAAAGGACTTGAAGCCATCAAACTACCTGAAAAGAGGAACACACCGATGAATCAAATTAAGGAATTTAATTTTCTTACTTTTAATCCTGGGGATTATTTAATAGAATGCCTAGGAACAAAGTTAGCATAAAAATTCAGCTAGAACAAAAATTCACACTGTGATAAGATTTATAAAACTGGATGTATCACTTGCTTCAGAATTACCCTTAAAGCTGGCTGAAAATTCAGATTTGGAGCTGGATGTGGAGGATCATGCTTGTAGTCCAGCATTTTTGGAGGCTGAAGCCAGAAGACTGCTTGAGGCTAGAAGTTAAGACCAGTTTGACCACCTTGGGCAACATAGCTAGACCCTGTCTCTGAAAGAAAAATAGGAAATGTTAGCCAAGTGTGAACCCATAGTACCAGCTGCTCAGGAGGCTGAGGTGGGAGCCCATAAGTTCGAGGTTGCACTGAGCTATGATTACATTCCTATACTCCAGCCTGGGTGACAGAGTGAGACCCTATCTCTAAAAAAAATAATAATAAAATGCAGATTTGGGGCCACTCTCATGGGCCCACCAAATCAGAATCTCTGGATGGAAACTCAAGAATCTGCATTTTCCACAAAGCCAGGTAATTTTATATTCCAGACATGGAGAATAATTGCCTTCATAATGGTGTTTGTCCATACACAAGTTTAAACCTCTCTAAATAGTTTCCTGAGAAATCAAGTTGGACATGATGAAATATAAATGTATCATATTAAGTTAATATTTACTTCTGCACCCTAGAGAGGAGCAGATGGAGTAAGGGACAGCTTAGATGAGACCCTGCAAGATGGTTTTACCTCTCCTAACTTCCCTTTCTTTGCTTCTCAATCTCTTCTCACACTTTGAGGGTTAATCAAAATAAGGAATTTACGTATATTCTTATTATCAGAAAAATGTTCAAAGTTCATGCCTAACCATTTGACTGCACATGATTGCTCAGAAACTAAAGCAAAATGACATTGATGTGGTTTATATTTTGTCTATGTAAAGAAACTAAAGTGAAAATCTTTCTTAACTGTAGTTAAACATTTTTATTTTTATTTATTTATTTATTTTTTAGAAGAGGAAAGGCTTTATTTCAGCTGGCAGAGTGTCTGCTCAGAATTCAAAATGGCTGTGCTCCTGGACTGGCTTAGTCTCTTTCTTTTTATTCCCAGTCACAATGTTCTAGCCCATGAGAACCTTTCTTTCTTTCTTTTTTTTTTTAAATGATAGCTGTGTACATTAATGCAATCATGGGGTACAGTGTGGTGTTTTCATATAAAATTTGAAATATTTTCATCAAACTGGTTAACATAGCCTTTATATCATTTTCTTAGTTATTGTGTTAAGACGTTTATATTCTACTCTTAGAAATATTCACTTTTTAAATTGAATATTTGCCAAACTCACTATGCTTAAAAGTTATATTATTAGTTTGTTCAATGTCATTCAAACTTTCATGATATCTGGTAACTATTTATATATTCAAAATTTTCTATGTTTACAATTTTTTTTGGACAAATTGCAAATTTTGCCACTGTCCTTAAGGCCTGAGTTTGACATGGACATAAAATCCTGAATAAAATACCAAGGAACACATTTCTATTTGCAGTGTTTCCCTTGTAGGGGGAACGGCCACCAGACAGAGAGGCTTTCTGGGCTGTATTCGATCCCTGCAGCTGAATGGGATTGCCCTGGATCTGGAAGAAAGAGCCACAATGACGCCAGGAGTGGAGCCAGGGTGTGCAGGACACTGCAGCAGCTATGGACACTTATGTCACAATGGAGGGAGATGCAGAGAGAAACACAGAGGGATCACGTGTGATTGTGCCTTCTCTGCATATGATGGGCCATTCTGCTCAGATGGTAAGTGTGCCGAGGGAGCAGGTAATAAGAAAATGTGGGTAACTTGAAGAATATGAGAAACACCCTGGCATTTGACTTTATAAAGAAAGGATAAAATTGAGTATTTGTAAGAAAATCATTTATATTCTAAATTCTTCTACTAAATATTGAATGGGCATGATGGTTTTTGAAAACCCAAGGCTATCTAAGTCTTCTCTGGAGTTCTTATTTGGCAGATCTCTGTGTTGCCTCCTGTTTTCTATCCAATGCAAATCCTCTTAAAGTGATTTGGTTTTCAAAAACTCTCTTCTTGGGTTGTTCTGATTTTATGATCATTAAAGCATCATTGTTATTTCATATTTGTTTGTTTATTTAATTTTCTTAGAGATGGGGGTCTCACTACATTGCCCAGGCTGGACTCAAACTCCTGGTCTCAAGCAGTCCTTCTGCTCATTGTTATTCATCACAATGACTTGAATTGATGCAAAAGGCACCTTCATAAGTCTTCTGTTAGGCTTCTGGAATGAATTATAACTTAATTTGTATCTGTGATAACAGATAATAGTTCTGATATAAATAAGTGCCCTCTTCATATCTGAAGGTGGGTGACCATTTATACATGAGCACAAATACTGATTTCTAAATTATCCCCAGTCCAGTCCACATCTCCTAAGTGTAATTTAAATGTTACTTTGTAACCTAAACTTATATTAGACATAGACATTGCCTTGTAGGTGAATGAAATGGCCCTCCAGTGGCTATAGATTAAATTAGATAAGATTACTTAATCTAATAAGAATGATCTGGAGTTTCAGTGAATTCCTTATATTTTATGGAAATAGAAAGTAGTATTCCAAGACAATAATCACCTCTTAACATCTTCCTTTTATTTGTATTTGGGTTCTGTGTGTTTATGTGTGTATATATGCATGACTAAATACATTTTTGGAGTTAATCTTAAAATTAAAATGTCAACCTTTTATAAAATGTTTTAGGAGAAGCTAAGAAGCTTTTCATCTCTCAGAACACTGTAGACATCACTTTGGATTAGCTTTGATTTTCTGGTAAACAATAAATCTGAGAAAGATCTTCCACATAAGAGCAAATTGCTAGATTTTGATTTTGAAGAAGGGTTTGTCCTCAAATCATCACCTATGTAAGGAGGTCTGTTTATTCTTTCTACAAGGAGGTAAACTCTAAATTAAAAAACTTAGTACTCTGAAGACAATTCCAGAATGGCCATGTAAGGGAGCTCTGTAAACCCTATCCCATGTCAAACACATATAACTGATAAAAATTATTATTAAAAAGCACATCAAATGAAGAAACATTTATTAGTCTTTGTAATAACATTAAGAGTTTGAGACATTAAGCCAAGACCCACTCCCTGCTCCTCCTTAATCCCAGCACAGCAGGATGGAGATTCTACTTTATGGGAGTATAGCCAAGTAGCCAGAGGTCTCCTTTCGCCCCTTTCACTCCAGAAATACTGCTTTACCTCAAGATTGGGTGCCAGAATTTCTCCTCACCCCCAGCTTTTTGTGGTCATTCTATCCAGACAGAAGCCGGTGAGAAGTCTGAGGTTTCCTTCCTACACCAAGTCTTCATTTCCAGGACAGAAGTCTGGAGGTGTGACAGCTTGAGAATACTAGGTCTCCATTGCCCTCACTCTAGCTTATTTACAGTAAAGGAGGAAAGAGAGGCAAGGCAAGAGGCTGCCATACCCACTCCGTGCCCTACTTGTAAGCAAAACTTTCACTCCAAAGAAGCAGGCCAGTCTCCCTGCTCACAGCTACAGAACAGTGAGGCAGAGGTTTGTTGATGGAGTAGAGGCAGGACATGAAAACACAGAGCTCTGTAGCCCTCTCCACAAGAACTGAAGCCATTTGAAACAGTCTGGATAAACTCAAGCCTACTGTTGCTTTTGAAAACAGTGAAGAGTCTGTTGTAAGCAATTAAAAGGAGGTTAATAGCTCTAAGAGAGCAATAAGCTAAATCATAGGCAAGCTAGAAATTCGGCAGAAAAAAGAACAGGAAATGAGACAACTAGAAGATTCCTTCTAGAGTCTGAACAAGTTTTAAAGGCTGGAATCAAGACTAACCCTGCAAAGGATCCTGAATTTAATCAGATCAGACTATGGAGCAATTTGTGCTCTGGAGCATTACTGAATACAGTAGTGCAAACAGTAGACTGTAAGTGGAAGCTAATAACTAGTTGTATTACCAGTAGAGGCAGATGAGTTAACGTAAACAAAAGATAAAGAAACAAAGAGATCCTTGTGAAAACAAGTGACTATGCACAGGATACACTCTATGATGGGTGACATCAGAGGCTACACACTTCAGGGGAAATAGATTTCATTGACATAGTCCATCCAAATCACCAAGCTAATGAAAAATCAACAGCAGCAGCCCTGGGGAGACTCTATATTCAGAAGTTTTATAGTATATTATCTATAATGCCAAATTTTCAACCAAAATAAAAAATCATGGGACATGCAAGAAAATAGGAGAATGCAATCCATACATGGGGAGGAGGGGGAACAAGCAAGAGAAACTCTGAGCAATTTTCAGGTACCATACTTAACAGGCAAAAATTCCAAAGCTGCTGTTACAAATATGTCTAAATAACTAAAAGTAAACAGATTCTACGGGTAAGATGTTTGTGTCCCACTCCAAATTCATATGTTGAATCCCTGATCACCAACATGGTGGACTATAGATGTAAAAATCAAGAAGCACTGGTAAAGATAAGTTTGCAGATAATTATAAGAGAAAGTACATGGCATATCTCTTATCCTTTCTGTGCTTAACTGATTTAAAAGCAATTGTGTAAAACTACAAAAGAATATATATATATACACACACACATATGTATATATACATATATATATAATATTTGTGTTGTAGGACTTACAGAAATGCAATATATTTAAAAATAACAGGACAAGGGGGACAGATAGAAGCAGAACTATACTGAAGTATGACACCAGATGGTAACATAAATCTTAGGAATCAAGAAACAAGCTAGAAATGGTAAATAAGAGAGTTAATATCACAAAGCCTATAAATACATACTTGCTCTTTTTTCATTTCTCAGATTTTTAAAAAGACATCAAATTATGTAAAATCATAATTATAACAATATAACAATGCATGTTGGCTTTGGTATGTATAATAGCTCAAAAAGATACCAAGGAAATAGAGCTTTATTGAAGTAACTTTTCTATATTTCACTTATTTTAAGTCTGTGTGAACCCAAAGCAGATTCCACTAAGATATATATTACAACCCCTAGAGCAATCACTAAAGAAAACAAAAAATTATGGTGAAGCATATTAAAAGGATTATATACCAAAACCTAGTAGGATTTAGTATAGGATTTCAAGGGTGGTTTAACATGTGCTCATCAGTCAATATGTTATAAAAAAATTTTAGGATAAGAAGAAAAATACATGATTATCTTAATTGTTGCTGAAAAACGTAGCAAATTTCATGAGTTTAAAAAAGCACTCAGTAAAGCAGAAATTGAAGGGAACTTCTTCAGTATGATAAAGGCCATATATGAAAACCTATAGCTAGCATAATATTTAATGGTAAAGTCTTCTTTCCTAAGTCAGGAATGTAACAAGCATGCCACTGGAAGTTCTAATCAGAGCAATAAAGCAAATGATTTGAAAGTCCAGATATATACCCTCACATGTATGGCCAATGGATTTCACAAGAGTCCCAAAACAATGCAATGGGGGAAAATAAAGTCTCTGGGACAACTGGATATCCACATGCATGTGTAAAGACATTGGGCCTCTTGACACATACACAAAAATGTATTCCAAATCTATTACAAACTTTGATGTAATATGTAAAACTATAAAACTCTTAAAACATGAGAGAAAAAAAGAATAGACGTCATCAAAATTAAAAACTTTTTTTTTTTGAGATACAGTCTATGTCACACTAGGCAGACATCACAACTCATAGCAATCTCAAACTCTTGGATTTGAGAGATCCTCTTATCTTCACTTCCCAAGTAGCTGGGACTACAGGCACCTGCCAACAGTCTCATTGTTGCTTAGGCTAGTCTCCAAGCAATCCACCTGCCTCAGCCTCCCAAAGTGCAAGGTTCACAGATGTGAGCCACCACACCTGCCTCAAAATTAAAAACTTGTCATTCAAAGGGCTCACTTTCAAGAAAATGTAAAGATAACCCAAAGAATGGAAGGGAAGAAAATATTTAAAACTCATATATCTTGGAAGGGTCTAGTATTCAAGTTATTTGAAGAGCTCTTATAACTGAATAATAAAAAGACAGCCCAATTAAATAATAGTCAAGTAGATCTGTTTTCAGCAAATATATACAAATGGCCAATAAACACATGAAAAGATGCTTGGTAACTTTAGCTAGTAGAGAAATTCAAGTCAAAGTTATGATGAAATACTGCTTCACTAGGTTAGCTACAATTGAAAAGAAAGACAGTAACAAATGTTGGTGAAGAGATGAGGATATTGAAACTCAAATAATTGCTATTGGAAATGTAAAATGATACAGCTATTTTGGAAAACATTTTGGTAGTTCCTCAAAATGTTAAAGATGGCGTTATTGTAACAGTGAACAATTTTACTCCTGAGTACATATACCAAAAAGAAATGAAAAAATATGTATCCACACAAAAGTTTACTTGTGAACATTGATAGCAGTTTTAATCATAACAGCCCCAAAGTAGAAACAACCCAAATGTTTATCAGCTAATGAATAGATTAATAAAATGTGGCATATCCATGCAATGAAATATTATTTATCAATAAAAAATACTCATACATGCCACAACATGGTTGAACCTTGAAAATACTATACTAAATGACAGAAGCCACAGAAGACCACATGTTGTATAATCCCACTGATAAGAAATTCCCCAAATAGGAGCCTCTATAGAGATAAAAAATAGATTAGTAGTTTCCTAGCCTGAGATGTTGGAGAGGAACAGAGAGGGACTGCTAATGGATATGAAATGACATTTTTTGGAGAGGCAAAAAGGTGGGGAATGGTGAAAATAATCTAAGGTTGCATAATCTGTGAATATACTAAAAGGCATTGAATTTTATACTGTAATTGACTGTATTATATGGCATAGAGATTATATCTTAATAAGGATGTTTTAAAAATTAATATTTGGGGGGCAAAATGGAACCCAAGGATGAGAGTGGTTACCTTTAAATTATACATTTATACTGGAGAATTAATTATAATATAAATCCAAGGTGAAGCTAATTTGAAGAATTAAATGAAATCTCTATTAAATTTTATTCAATTCCAGTTTGTGAATATATTGGGAGTTGTTACTTTTTTCTTCACACTTTATTTTTCAAAACACTTTAAAAAATGAAAATAATTAAAGTAAGGAAGCATTTCACTATTTTATCTGCAAGCGTATTTAATGGTTGGATTCATTCTCTAAATATACTTAGAATAAAACCCTTGGACTTAGATTTCGTTAACTTAACAAATATATTTGTTGTTCCAGAGATTTCTGCATATTTTGAAACTGGCTCTTCAATGACCTATAATTTCCAAGAGCATTACGTCTTGAGTGAAAACTCCAGCTCCCTTGCTTCTTCATTACATAGGGATGTAACCTTGACTAGAGAAATGATCACACTGAGCTTCCGAACAACACGAACTCCGAGCTTATTGCTGTATGTGAGCTCTTTCTATGAGGAATACCTTTCAGTTATCCTCGCCAACAATGGTGAATATCTTTTGTGTAAAGAAAAAAAAATCCTGAATTAGGAAAAAGAAATTGGGACTGTAATGACAGGTCTTTTCATCATTCAGACTGTAAGGAAAGAAAATTGCCTGCCCTCCACATCTTGTGCTTTTTCAGTACAATTCATAATGGTTATCATAACAGCTAGCATTTCAAGATTAAATTAAGATGCTTTTCTCCCATTACAAATTTGATAATTTTACAGATTTGGTATGACATTACATATCTTATTATTGATCGTATGTCTTTATTACTGCAAGATGATCAAGTTGTAATGATTTGAAATAAGATATCTGGATGTGTGACACATATCCCTGCCCATTCTAAGCAAAGTAGAGGAGTATTAATGTGGATGTTAGTAAAACTGCATAAAAGCCAATTTCCATAAGCAACAGATAAATACAATTGCTCTTTATCTCATCAGTGTTGAGAAACCAGTTACATCACTTTTATATAAGAAGAAAATTGAAGTGATATTTTCTCAAACAGTGGCTTCTGGGGCCTTGCAAGACTTTCATAGTGGAATAGGAAAGCCAGCCTTTTAGTTTGCTAGGTAATGAGTTAGCACAATAAATTTAATTTCTGGAAAAATCTACAAAATCTCTTACTAACAGGATTTTCATATAAGCTATAAGCGAGTCATGGGTAATGGGGTGCATCTATGTAGGAGTGCAGTGTGTGTATTAGAAGATGTGGATACTGAAGAAACCTTGTCTCTTGACAAAACCTTTTCTCTTCCTTTAGAAAAAAAATTCTGGCTGTAAAATATTTTCAACTATGCACAAGTCAGTAATACATTAAAATAAATCCTACTAAAGAAGTCATAATTATAGAAACTGAATGTTGCATGGAGTTTCATTATTTCATAAAATAAATACCATAGTCACGATGAATTTAAATCTGAGTTCAGAGATTTTATATGTGTAATTTTAAGCCTTCTCATTTAAGAAAGATTTGAGGAGACTGCTTAGTATTAACACATTTGGTCTTGACTTTTAGAATAGTATAATTGGACTCAGAGTTTAGAACTGGAATAGCACTTAAGTAATCACTACTGCAAGAAAGGTGACTATTGGGTGCATTCAAGGCTATGCTAAATAGATTCAAAAGTGCCTTAAGTAAATAATAATAAAAGTGCTTTAGAATCTGCAGTAAGAGTTTTGTAAAATGTCATTTTAATTTTAAATGCCATTTGTTTTTTCTCTTTAGGGAGTTTGCAGATTAGGTACAAGCTAGACAGACATCAAGATCCTGATGCATTTAATTTTGATTTTAAAAACATGGCTGATGGGCACCTTCACCAGGTGAAGATTAGCAGAGAAGAAGCAGTGGTCATGGTAGAGGTAATGCAACTACTTCACATCAAAACATCTATTATTGTGCTTCTGAGAATGAGTTACATAATGCAAAACTTTGATAAGAAATATTAATAAAAGAATAAGCCAGCCAGGTTATTATTAATTGATAAGAAATATTAATAAAAGAATAACCAAACAGTGGCTCCCATCTACAATCCTAACACCCTGGGAGGCAGGAGCTTAGGAGCTTAGGAGTTTGAGACCAGCCTGAAAAAGAGCAAGACCCCGTCTCTACAAAAAATAGAAAAAATTAACCCATTGTTATTGTGGGTTCCTGTATTTCTATCTACTTGGGAAGCTGAGGCAGAAGGATCACTTGAACCCTAGAGTTTGGGGTTGCTGTGAGGTAGGCTGACATCACAGCACTCTAGCCTGGGCAACAGAGCGAGACTTTGTCTCCAAAAAAAAAAAAAAAGAAAGAAAGAAAGAAAAGAAACCAACTGCATTCAGTGTTATTCTTCCTTAAGTCAATGGTGGGATTCAAATACAGCAAGGGGTTGGAAAAGGAGAAATGGTTGTTAATCCTGCTTTGTTTCTTTAAGCAATATAATTCTGTCAAAGTTATTATTAAATTTTACCATTTAAAATATCAAAATGTCCTTAGATGTTTTACTTTACTTAGTAGGGAAATGTTCTCTAGTTTATCACAATGACTTCTGGTGGAATCTGTTCATTGATATTTCAGTGGAAACCTGCCCCTTTCTGATTATAAAACAACAAATACTACAGCAATTCAAACACAGGTTAAAAAGTACACAAGATATTCATTGAAATGGAAATACCCAAGAAAATAAAGCTGAGTAAGAATAGAGTAAGTGAATTACACATTGTCACTGGCATTTGAAGGAAAATGTACTTTAAATCTGCACATAGAACAATTATTATTGGTTTTATGTTTCAAGTGTTCCCCACAGAGTAAATAATCTTTGAAGTTTAAAATAGCTGATTTCATCATTTTGTGTGTGTGTGTGTAGATTCCGCCAATTACAGGGTCTTCCATTATGTAGAAGAATAAAGATGGGAAGGGAGTAGACAGTGGATGGAGTGGTAGCTGATAGTATCATAGGAACTATTTATAAAATACCTTCCCTTTCTGAATAATTAATTGTTTCAAGATGGTTTCTTGAAACTTTCTAGTGGCACTTACAAGTGATTTATTTTTATCTATTTTTTTCCTGGTCTCTTTGCTGCCTTATTATTAAAATTGCACTCCCTTTTGCTGTTTGCTTCTCATGGGACATCTAATAGGTTAACCAGAGTGCAAAGAAACAAGTCATCTTGTCTTCTGGAACAGAATTCAACGCTGTCAAATCCCTCATATTGGGAAAGTTTTTAGGTAAGTGGAAGAAACAGCTTTTTCCAAAAAAAAAAGAAAAGAAAAGAAAAATTAGATCCTAAGTGTCATGTCGCAAATTCTAAAAGCATTTATCATGCTGAAAGAAGCTTCTTGAATAATAATTTCCCAGTGAGTGACAATCATGATGCAAACAGTACTCTTGCCTGAGTGTACATATAATCATGAGTAAGTGCTGCCTGTGAGGTGTGCAAGGGTGTTCTTGGAAAAATACTTCCATACTTAACCTCTCACTTAGCAATCATGCATAATGGATCATGATATTTTTATAACACTTCTTGAAAAGTGAAATGTTATCAAAGCAGACACAAAGTTCACAGATTATGCATTAATCAGCATCAACTCAAGACCTCCATTCAATGATAAAACTAGGTTTGAATTGAAGACAAGAGAAAAAAATGTTTATTTTCTTTCAGCAGAAGAATATAGTTGTAACTCTGTCATGAGGCCAGCTTTGTTGTTTCTGTCCTTTTTGACTTCAGTATCTGACAGGGGAGGTGAGGCATGTTCATAAGTATTTATTACACAAGGTAAAACGTTACAATAATTGTCCAACATATTGACAAAGGAAGCATTGTTAAAACCACAGCTTAGCTTTAAACTTAATATCATAGTAATTAAGAAAAGTAATTTTTAAAGATTATGTAAATCAATTAGGAAAATGAACTATACCATATATAATAGAAAAAGATCAAAACAGAATAATATTCACTATATGTATTTTTATTTTCTTCCAAGTAAATAAGTAAATAGAGTTGATGATGTTAATGTCTTTATTCAAGAATGGTATATTCAAAGGCATACAACTTATGGCATAAAAAACAAGTTCGAGTTTAGCAATGATGTATATAAGTCAGAAGCAACCAATCTCAGAAATTTAGATTTATTTTGCCTGTGACAGAAAATAATCGACTGTGAACTATAATAAAATTTGAAGTCCTTCGGCTCACTGATGGAACTCTTTTGGCCAAGGGGACTCCTGAAATAACCTACAGCTGAATTGCTCGCCATGAGAAAGGAGGTCAGACATGTCCCCTTTCTATTTTGGAGATAGCTTAAATCACACCTATAGGTTATCAGTTTACTTTATAGATCACTAGGGTCTATGTCCAGTGACTTATCTCTGTTTAATGGACTTCCTTATCTTAAAACATTACAAGCCTTTAGACAAAGCTTTATTTCTTCAACTAATTATATATCACGGAATCGTTAGCTCTATCGATAGCCTGTAATTCCTTCCCCCTTTGAGATGTCCTGTCTTTTCAGGCCAAACCAGTGGATGCCATCCTTGTATTGATTTATGAGATTATATGTAATTCCTGAGTCCCTGAAATGTATAAAATCAAACTGTAACACAGCTACAGTGAAAGCACTTACTCATGGATGTGGCTCAGGCAATAGTCACACATTATTTGGCTCTGAATAAACCTCTTTAAATTATTTTACAGAGTTTTGGTTCTTTTGCATTGACTTTTGCTTAGAACTATTCATGTTTTGATTTTATTTTTATTTATATATAAGTTTGAAGTTGTTTAAGAAGTACTCTCTTTAACTTATGATAAATGGACCAACAAGTTAGCTAATAGAGAAGCCACTAATTTTCCAGAGAAAGTTGCTCAAAACTCTCTCTGTAAAGGTATCAACGTATTTCGCATGAATCTCATGAATCTGGTTTATCCATTTGTTCAAAAATATTGATGAGCAGCTACTGAACAACTTATTAAGCCTTGAGAAAACCTCTGAACAAGAGAGACATAACATCCATCCTTAGTAAGTTCATATGTTAGTAGGGAACATAGCCTAGCATATGATCAAGTCTAATAAAATAATATTCCTATTCAATCTAATTTATCATAATGTGCCTTAACATGTGTTTGAAGAAAATGGCACAGCATCATCATAATTAAGCTGCTATTATTCTGTTGCTATTTCTGAGTAATCTTACTTAATGAAGACTATTCAAACTGGTTATCACAAGATCAATTCAGAGTATCCCTATTTAAATGTAAATGCTTTAGATTTCTAGTTTTCTACCTACCCTTGAATTTTATCTGAGATGTAGTCTTAAAGAATGTGAAAACTTAAAATACTATAATCCAATAAGTGTGAACAATCATTTTGTAAATGGCCCCATTGAACAAATTAAAAGGATTCCTACATAATTCTTTCCCTTAGCTAACTACTACTTGACCTTCTAAGATATTTCTCAGAAATTATGGATGTTCTCTAAGACAAAGGTATTGAGATTCCATAGACCCCTGTGCAAGAGTGTTTCTGCCAAGAACCCCCATCCCCCATGACACACAGCATCTCCTTTAAAAGCCATGATCTCCCTTAGTCTAGGAGATGGATTTGAGGCAACATCTCCCATTCCCCTGGAAAAACATATTAAAAATTGGCAATCTTCATTATCTCAATAATTGGATTTTTGTGTGATGAGCAATTGGACCTAGACCAACCCCCACTTGTGGTTTCAACAACAATTTTGTTTTATTTTTCCAGCTATTTTGGTATTCTTTTGTTACCTATTGGTATTCTTTTGATTTTGCTATGTGTGTTTAAACATTACCTTAAATATGTGTGTATAATATATAATGTATGTATATATGTATATATACACAGAAAGTGCAAAAGCTGAAGATATGTCTTTTTGTCTGCTCCAGAAAAAAAATTTTTTAAAAAAGGCTGTAATAGTTATACACTAATACCTCCTCTTATAAACTATACGAGGTCTATATTCTGGGCAGAGGAAAATGCACTGAAGAATTGTATTCAAATAGAGCCCTCTCTATATAATGATGGTAAATAGTTTTGGCAATCATAAGTATTTCTGGAAATTGCCTTTTAAATTATATAAGGAGATGTCACATAAATCATATAGTTTTAACACTTAAAAGTCAATTGACTTACATATTTTACATTACTTTTATGATACAGTATTTGTCTCATTTAAAAGGGATGCTATATGTGGCATCTGGGATTTGGATTTTACCTGATTTACAAGATGATAATAAGTTAAACAAGACTATAACTGTTTTGTGAATGCTGGTGTACAACATAAGACTCCTGGTACAGAGACAAAGGACTCTATTACTCATGGTGCAGCAGGCCTCATACACATCATCATGTTTGCTTTCCTGTGGTCCTCAGGTTCTAAGGAACAATGCCAAGGGCCTAGGAGAATACTGCACCTGCAGTGGGATTGCATTGCAGCTGAGGCACGCTGAGCTTGAAGAATCTACTGATTCTGTAACAAGCCTATTCCTTGTCTTGGAGGCAGACATGATCTCATCATTCCTCAAGGTTGTTTCCTTCAGACACAACCTTGAGAGAAGGCCTGGGTGAAGTCCTGTCAGAGGCTTGTGTATCTTGGCAAACCTAACAAAACATGTAGACACTCAGAGTGAATGGTGCATTGCCTTTCCCAACATTATAGAAAACAAAAACAAAAAACACAAAATGTCTAAAAAATCAAGAAGATATAAGATTTAGTGTTTTATTTTTTTTTCAAGAAATCAACAGTTGATTTTATCAATTAATGCCTCTTTATCTACAAAGTGAAGAAGCTGGGTTAAATTATTTCTAAGATTCTCTTTAGTAGAAAATTCTAAGATTTTCTAACTTGATTCATTAACCAGGATTCAGTGGGGATCACTAATGTCTTAAGGTCTTTGAATTTATGTCAGCCAGACCAAGACAATCTAATAGAATTTTCTGTGATGATAAAATTGTTCTATATTTGTGCTGTCCTATGTGGTAGTCCCTAGACATACTTGAAATAAGTGTGTTTTGAAGTGCGGGAAATGTGGATAGAGTGAACTGAAAGGCTGAAGTTTTCATTTTGTTTAATTTTAACTGATTTCAATTTCAGTGGTCACATGTAGCTAAGTGTCCACCATAGTGCACAGTGTAAAAGACTATACGCTTATTTGTCGAGTTATTTTCTTCTTCAGTTCAACCAAGTGACACCCTTTTGTGAGGTCAGATGTCTGTTTATTTAGGGAAGTTGAACTCTCAAACTCGCTAAAGGAAAAAGGGTGGGGGGGGATGGAAGGAAACTGATTGAAGCAGAAAAAGAAAGAAAAGGCGATGAAAAGATAAAATGTCTATGTAAAATAAATAGTATAAGATAAAAATAATAAAATTGATATAGCAGTTGCTACTCTAAATGCAAATGGACTAAATTCTGTCAGGTTTAAACCCTTGTAATGGAAATAGCTGCCAAAAGATTAAGGCTCTGGTTGTCCTCCTCTAGGTATGAAAGAACAAAAGATTGAAAGGGACTTTCCAGTTGGTTGCTGCTGCACCAGGGAGGGTGCACCTGTGCCCCCTGCCCTTCCCTCTGTGTCCTGATGGTATGTCCTGTTTCTTCTGCTTGCAGAGCTCCTAGGTATGGACCCAGACACACGGCGGGCAGCGGCACGTGGCTTCACCGGCTGCCTCTCCGCTGTGCGGTTTGCCCATGTGGCTCCCCTGAAGGTGGCGCTGCGCTCTGGCAGCCCAGCCAAGGTCACTATCCGAGGTCGCGTGGCCGCCGCCTCAGGCTGCGCAGTGGGGGCGCGGCCTGGCTCCCCAGCGCGGGAACTGGCTCCCCGGCTCACGGGAGGTGCAGGTGCGTGGACCCTTCAGCTGTGGCTCACTCAGAAATTCTGCTCTTCTTTCAAAAGTGTGTGAATTTCTCAATGTCTTCTTGTCTTCCCTCCATCATTAAAAATAAAAAATTGCTGTGTGTTTTTTAAATTGACAAAATTTGGAAACACGTGTAGATTGTGGAATGATTGAATGAAGCTAACAACACATCTTCCACCCTTTTTCTATCATAGGTCGTTCTGGACCAACAGATGAGGGAAAGCCCTTACTTAACACAGATGGAAGTGACTCTGCTGTCATCGGAGGTAAAAAGGGCTTGGATGAGCTGGTCGTTGGCTTTGTTATCTCTTTTGAAAGTGGTGAAATAGCATACTTAGGAAAACATGCCTAAGAATCAACAGTCAATGGTGAGGTCAGAGGAGTGCTATATGTTGTGTTGGTTCTCTGAGTTACCATTTACAGATTTCATCTTTTCTAGAAATAGTGTGTAAGAATTTAATTGAAACATAATTTTTAAAGAACAATTAACAAAACTAATAAAGACAAGCTTTAAATTCAAATAGCTGTATTGCCTAGGACCTATGAGATATTTATAAAGGAAATGAATGGCTCTTTAGACAGAGCTACAAGTAATTGTATAAAAAGAACAGAAACTTCAAGTAAACTAATTATCCCAGCAAGTACTTTAGAATAGAAATAGAAATTTGCATGGTTTAGATGCTACCTCTGACAATATTTCACTTATTTAAAAAATGTTTTTAAACATACATAATGTTATTTAAAGTGAATTAAAGTGTATATATAGTTCAGTGGTATTAAATACTTTAACAATGTTGTATAGCAATAGCTGCCATAAATTTCACTTTTAATCATACTTTAGAAAGAATCTAATAGGCTGGGTGTTCTGTGATTATTACTATTATTATTGGTTTTTTGAGACAGAGTCTCACTTTGTCATCCCAGTAGAGTGCTGTGTATCATAGCTCATGGCAACCTCAAACTCTTGGGTGCAAGTGATTCTCTTGCCTCAGCTTCCGTAGTAGCTGGGACTACAGACACTTACCACAATACCCAGCTGTTTGTTTTTACAGATGAGGTCTCAGTCTAGCTCAGGCTGGTCTTGACCTCATAAACTCAGGCACTCACCTTGGCCTCCCAGCATGCTGGTATTACAGGTGTGAGCTACCACACCTGGCTGTTTTGTGATTATTTTTAATTGAAGAAAAGTAAAATTAAACACAATTTAAATATTATTTCTTGGCAATGAAAATGGTGTTTTTTTTCTGAAATATAATTTATCCAGAATTGGTGTAAAAAAATAAGCATTTACTTTTCCTCATTAATTAATTAATTATTAAAATGTCACGTGGTTTCTTATTCTGCACAACCTCCACCACACATACAAAAGTAAGCTGGTTGTTTTTTTCTCCAAAATGGTAGGAAACAATTCAGACATTATAAGGTTCTGAATAAATTTCAGTTGAGGATATCAACATTTCCACGGCCATGTCAGTTCTTTTACTCTTTTAAATCAATAAGGTAATAAGAATATATAACCTGATGAACAAAATTTGGCGCAGTTAATGGTGTCAATATTTTAGAATCTGTTCAATAATGTATATTTTAAATCAAATCCAATTCTAAAGCAATCTTGATTTTTTAAGAGAAAAACTTTTCATTGGAATACAAAGGCAATTTCAGTACTCTCAACATTTTTGGAGTAGGTTCACAAGTCTTAAAAATATTTGCACAATGTCAGATGAGTGCCAGCCTTCAGTGAGCAAGGGTAATAGGCAAGTTGATAAAAGAACAAAAGCACTTATCTTTGGAATTTTGTTACTTTCCGTCAAATATCACTGGCAAGATTTACTGAGTAAATGTTGGAATGTGATGCTGTTAAAACAATAAGTCTTACCAGTGTTCTATTCCCCTGAGAAATTCTTGGTTTCTCAAGGAGGGAATGGAAAGGAGTGTGTAGAAGGCTCCTCCCAGGCCGCCACAGAGGCAGTTTGTGTTTTCTAATAGATACAAATTAATATAAATTAATATTTATATAAGAAATATAAATTAATTTTTTTGTGAATTATCTTAAATTTATGATGTGGGCCATGAAAGGGAGGAAAAGTAAAATCTTCTCAACCCTCATAAGTTCATAGTTGAGATAGATTAACAAGAGGAAAGCAAGCAAGTTTATTAATGTGTGCAGTACACAACGTGGGAGAAACCTCGGTGAGAGGTCACGCAGAGCAGTGGCTTAGAACTCTGGCTTATGCAGGATGTCTTCAGCAAAGAACCATACATTTGTAGAGAAATGACAGAACAATAGAAAACAGTTTTAGGTTTCCAAAGGCAAGAAATGGTGGGAAGGTAAATACAGGGTAAGAAACTGATGGAATAATGTTTGTTTGCAGATTCCTCTCCTGCCATGGCTGGCTGATAAGAGTTATCTCCACCAGGGGGAAATTACTTTCTGTCCTTAGGTGGAAAAGGAGGGGGATGGAAGGATTGAGGGAGCTCTTTTTCCATTTACTTCTCAATTGCCTTTAGCTCAAAAATATTTATGTCAAAAAGTTTATTCGGGGGTGACATATTTTGGCTTCCTTCAGAAGCTTCTCCTTTTACATTTTCATTTGCTTTAGCATAGCTTAGACTTTCATTCTTCACTAAATGTGATTGCTGCAGTAAGCAGCTTTCTGGGGCATGGCTTCCTGCTTTAGCACCCTGGCTATGAACCAAAGCTGAAAACAATTTATAAAGGTCCTCATACTCAGGCTGGCTACTCAGGTATCAAGATTCATCGGCTTTTGTGCATCAAAGATTGAGAATCACAGGCATAGTTAATGGTGTTAGTATTTTTGAACATTTATACCGGCTCTTTCAAGTAATCCACATTCCAAACAAATAAACTTAATAAATATGCCTATAATAGTTGTGGTAATTGAGGCTGATTTACATATATGTTAGATAACTACATTTCAAAAGTATCGTCATAAAGATTTTTTTTAATTTTCATTAAAATATATGCAAAGATTTCATTAAAATGAATGCATTTCATTATACTAACAGTATCATTTAATGATTTGTGATGCTGTTGAACACTACATACTTCCCACTTGTTAACTGGATGTGTTAGTGACTTATGTTTGTTCTGCTAATGAATAAAACCCAAAATTTGTAAAATAATTTAAATAGATTTATTCTAAGCCAAATATGAATGACCAATGACCTGAGGAGCCATATCCAGGCAGTCTTGAGTAAAGCTGTTGGGTTGCAGTTTGAGTTTATATATCAACTGCATGTAAACTTGTTAATCAGTACATGGATTGGTTTGACCCCCCAAAACAAAAAGCGGTAAGGAGGCAGGGCTTCAGGTTATAGGTAGATTCTTTGATTTATAATTGTTTAAAATGAAGCTTTTTCTATAGACTTAGAATCAGTAGAAAAGAATGCTTGAGTTAAGATAAGGGGGATCTATTAATCAGAGAGCAAGCTAAAAAATACCCAAAGTGATCTGTTAAGCAAAATGATGGCTTATAGGCATGATTTAAAATTTGTCTTGCATGGCCTTGGGTCCAGTTTGCAATTAGTCTAAACTCCTAAAAGAGGGGTGTTGCCATAAGGGTGTTGCCATTAGGGTCTCATAGAAAAGCCATGTCACGAAGAATAAGCAAGCTTATTGAAATTGTGTTTTAAATAGAGGTGACCATCTGCTTGCTCAGGCAAAATGGCAAGCTTCTTTATTTATGGTTGGTTTATGTAGGGAATCTTGTGCATGTGCACTATACAGCAATGACCTCATTAATATTCATTACAATCCCTCTGCACATGCGCAGTAGACATGAATGACTTCATTAATCCATTTAAATATCTTGTAACTACCACCTTGTAAGTAGGTCCTTCCTAGTAATCTAATAATCCACCCAACATACACCTTTAAGCATAACCCTTTCAATATAACCTAGTTTAACATAACTTAATGGAGAACATGTTATTAGTCATTACTGTCTTTTGTTCTTGTCTGATGAAGCCTGAGCCTGTGGAGGAAGAGACTGTTTGAAAGTCTGTTCTACTGACCTTGTTATTTGGACGCAGTTGCTTTGATCCTTAAAACAATGCATAGTTAAGAAACTTCTAGGGCATACAGAAATTTGTGTGCAAACCTCCGCTCCCATGTGGGACTTAAGTCCAGGGGTTTTTACACTCGCAAGCGACCGGGACAACCTTAGGTCAGGGGGGTTTTAGGCCCACAACCAACCTGGCCATATGGGATTCTGCCTCTATTTCTCACAAGTATGCCTCCACAAAATCTTTTCACTGCTCTCTCTCAAACAGCTTTTTTGGCCAGAGGGATATAGGCCTTTCGCCTATAGAGGGGTTATAAGGTATGTCTGACCTCCCTTCCCCTTATAGTCAAGAACTCTGTCTTAAGGTTTTTCTGAAATTCTCAAGAGAGGGTCCATTTATAACCAGAAGTTTGCATTTGTCCCCAACCCCAATCAGTAAGAACAAAGAACAAGGACAATTGGTTTGAGGAAAAGAAAAGAGAAATTTTTTAATTTGCTGGCAAATGAGGAGGGCAGTGGCCTAACTCCCCAAAGATCACCACCCCACCTTTAAGCAGAAATATAGGACTTTTTAAAAGGGGTGTGGGGAGTGGGGGATGGCAGCAGGGCTCAAGCCTGCTGAACCAGTGTCACATGTTGTGGCTTCAGGACAATACTGTTTTTAAATAATAGAGAACAAACAGCAAAGAACATTTTTCTGCTCCTTTGATCATTGGCCTCAGGATGGAATGCAAATTTTAATTCCCCCAAAAGAGTGTGTGGGGGGAGGTTTAAAGAGATAATTCATTAAAACATTTTGTTTCTCTTTTTCAGAACTTTGCCTCTGCTGTACATTCAGTCAGTGGGAGGCTTAGGATTTTGTTATCAGTTCACAGTGCTTTGAAATCTGAATGTGTTAGCTGGAATCCCTTTACCACATGCCCTTAGGGAAAAAGCCTCATTGGGCCATATCTAAAAGTTGAAGTAACTTAGAAATATAGAAAATGTTATTAAATCATTTTCCCTTAGCATTCCTGAGTTGATGTTTCCAATTTATGATATAGTAGATGGTGGTTTTATTTGTTTTAATTTTTTTAAGTCATTCGTACATAGATCATAAATACATTTATGCCATTATAGCATTCAATGTGTTGGTTATTTGTACAAATTGGAATGCTTACATCCTACTACGCAACATAGCCTTCACCACTTTTACCCATTCACAGGATTAAGACATTTATGCTCTACACCTGATAGATCCAACTTGTACTTGCAATATATTCCATAGGTGTGATCCCCCTACCAACTGGAGGAGGGTGGTGGTTTTATTTTAACCTACCTCATTAAGCAATGATACCTGGGTAGGAGATGCAGAAAACTTCCCTTTCACTGTCTGAAGGTTCACTGAAAAATCAGGTCCCAAGAGGAGATCAGGAATGTTACTGAAAGTTCAATACTTGTCTTGGAGGCCAAATCAGTGAGAAGGAAGGACAAGTGATTTAAGGGAAGGAAAGGGAAGTGTATCCATTTGCTGGCAAATGGGGAGATTGGCAGGCTAGCATCTCAAAAAAACACCATCCACCTTTAAGCAAAAATTCAGGGCTTTTTAAGGAGGGTTTTTCAAAAGTTGGGCTCAGTTCTTTGTGACCAGTGTCATGTTGTAACTTTGGGCAATTGTTTGCTTTGATGAAGTTGGTGGTTTTGGTCTAGTTTAACTCCAGTGAAGAGGATCTTGTGACCTCTTGGGCCATCTTCTGTGATTTAAGATACTAGAAAATAAAGAACAAAAAATATTTTTCTTCCCTTCATTCCCTGTGGCAGGAATGCCGTTTGTAATTTCCAAAAAGGTTAGGTGATTTGAAAGTGACGACTCATACTACATGTAGCCTCTTTCAGACCTTTACCTCTGTAACCATAAAAGAAAAGGCAAGCAAAAGTATTAATATGCATGTGGGGGAGAACACAAGTGACTTACCTCCCCAGTGGGGTTCAGAAACTTGTACATCATCTCGAGGTTACAGAGAGAATGGGGACTTGACTACTGGCTGACCAGGTTATGGGAGGTTGTGGAAGAAGAGACATGACTAGCATTGCAGGTCTTGTGAAGTAGATGAAACCTCACAGGTAGCAGCCCTCAGAGAGAGCAGATGGTAAATGTTTCTTTCAGACCCTTAAAGGTGTCAGACTCCTACATCCAGATAAGCCTGGCTGTATCACTGCAGATTTTCTTTAAAGATGCAAATCTCCCCTGCACAAGAAAGCTTTTCAGGGCTACATTTTTGCATAGGTCTTCTGGACATATATTTCAAAATATGTGTAAGTAATATATTTGGGGGTAAAATATGTTTATTTCCTTCATCTGTAGAGCCTCTGGTTGGGGCAAAAATCACCATTTCTATTCTGACGTCATCTTTCTTTTCTTCCTTCTCTAGGTGTCATAGCAGTTGTGATATTTATTTTGCTCTGCATCACTGCCATAGCCATACACATTTATCAACAGAGAAAGTTGTGCAAAGAAAATGAGTCAAAAATCTCCAAAAATGAAGAATGCTAAGGTGGCTCTACAAAGTGACCTTGATGGGCAGAACACAGTCAATGAAAGCCAGAGTGTCCTGTGATTGGCAGCTGTGGCTTCATCTATCACGTGACTACTTGATTCCCTGTTCTTGTCATCAGGGAACACATGGTGGACACAGTGCAGTAAGCTGGCTGGGGACATACTGCAGCCTCTCAGCGCTCTGGGAGGCTCCTTCCTCCTTAGCCAAACACCTTCCTCCTCCACTGTCAGTTTAGGAACCATGAATTAGGGAAGGTCATTTTTCCCAGTTGGGTAACCCTCCCTTTTCAAATGCTCTCTTCCAAAATTGGTTTAATTTGTGTAATAATCATGGGTTTTAGATGAGAAAATGGCTACAAAGCTTTGGTTACTTTCTTTAAAAATGTGACAGAACTTTTCTCCAGATGTAAAAGACAATATTGTACTCTGATTTTTTTGTTACTTGGAAAACTTATCTGGGATCCCTTTGTTGGTCCTGTGCTGATATTTGCAAAACTGGAAATCCTCCTTAGGTCGCCTTTGCTGACATTTCCATTGTCCTGAAATTCAGAGCCAAGTAGCCTACCAAAAATGTACAGCCCTTTTTCCCCCTGTCTGATGGTCAGTGCAGTGCAGTGCAGTAGAAGCCTGAAAATATTACTGTTATTTTTGGTGTATTGCTTTTTCTAATTGACTATTTTTAATCATTTTGATAAATCTTAATGTTGAAATTGGTATTGAATGTTAGCTATTTAATTTTGTAATGGAACAGAAAATTGATAGGTAACAAAGTGCATAGAGGATGTCAATTCAAGATAGTCTGCCTATTTTTCTTTGTAATTTGTAATTACAGTTTTTGTAAATTGTGATTATGTTTTTAATTAAATTTACAACCAGATATAAACACTGCTTCTTACACTGAAAGAGTTATCCTATATTTATAGTATATACCTATACTTATTTCCCCCAAATTTTGAGAGATTATGTTGGTTGTTCTTTATCATTCTATATTTCTCATTTCTAAAGGTTGTTACTAATTTTCCTTTGATTTCCTGTGACTATGTTATGTTATACAGAGCCTCTTTTCAGTTTTTAAAGGAAAATTAGTATAAAGAGAAAAGCTCTAATTTCTATTACAAATTTTGAACTGCTCTAGGCATAAATATCATTATGTGTTATCTTCTCAACTAATTGCTTTTAGAATTTAAACTGAAGGCTGCTCACTCTAAGGAAAGGCAGCATTTATATGATCTGTTTTAAATCTGCCCTTATAGCTTTATGAGCATGAGGGCCAAATTCTCATAGATTACCCAAAATTGAATATATGCTATTAACTGGAACATGTCTCATAAAGGTTTATACACATACTGAGATAGCATAGGAGTGGAATTAACTTGATGGGAACAATTTCAGGAGCTAATATTGATGCAGTGATTATTTGATAATTGTGGGAAACCACAATTTAGATTCAATAAGCCAATTATATAAAAACAGTGAAACAACACTCGTCCTATTCCAGACACCACCTACCTGCCAAGGACTAATTAGATCAGATCACGTAGTTTGTCCACATTAGGGCATTGGAAATATACCAATTCTGCATTATTATTACATAACTGAATTTTCATTTTCCCATTTGTGTTATTTTTTAAAGAATGAATATGGATACTCTGTCTTAAGTCTGCTCTCAACAAATGATCTTTTCTCAGAATACTACATCTCTCTTGATGTTCCTTTAAGTGAATGATGAAGGATCTTCTATTTCTACTGTATTACTCTCTTCATATAGCAATATATGAAGGATACATCTTGACAAATGGTGTATGATTTTTTTTTTCTTGAAAGCTTGTCCAGGATGGGGAAGATCTTTTATTAGTGAATGTAAACATTGTGTAATCATTAAAACTTTTACAAACACTTATTTTATTCCACAGAAGACTTTGATAGCTGGTATTTTATAGGATTATAGAGAAGCAAACACTACAGTCCACTGCTCTCTGTACTTTTTACAAGACAGCAAAACAGATGTGCCAGATTGCACTGAAACATCATCCACTGTCACTCTTCTGTACTGATCTTCTGAATTTACCTTCTTATTTGAAAATAAATCAATTTTTGAAATAAAATAAGGAAAATATTTTAAGGAAAGTTTTGTGTAGAATTTAAATTATACAATATGTGCTTTTTCCTAATGTATACAAAACAGGTATAGGTAAAGGCATTCTGTAAATTTGTGCATTACCCAACTCCCCTTGGTATATTTTGAGATTATTAAGGTTTCTTGACTTTTTTATGATCTGATATTTATCATCTGCAAAGTTTTACTTTTAAATTATTAAACACAAAGTGAAGGAAAAAGAGATAAATCTTTACTGAATGTAAGAAATAAAATATCTATAATGTATATATTTAATCTTTTGCTAGAAAGCAACCATTTAACAAACAACTTATTAAAATCTGGATTAAGTACTTTTTATTGGTGCAGAGAACTTAGTCACTGAACATTCTATAGATACATAGATGTTAGTTGCAAGTAGCACACTTCTACAAAATAAAAATATACTATTTTCCAAAATTTGGGTTTCAAATTAAATAATAAAATAATGTAAAATTAACATTCTTCATTTGAGAATGCTAAAATCTCTGATTTTTAAGAACTTTCAAAATTCTAATATTAAAAATAGAGTAGGTAATATGACATTGAAGGCATTTCTCTATAAAGTGGTGACATTGATGAATGGTATTATCTTGATACTACATTCCAAATTCACATTAGGAAATAACCCTAAATCTTTATCATTTCCTGTGAGTTATCATTTCAAGCATAAAAACATGGTTTGATAGTAGCTGATTCTTATATATGACCTATTCTGCCCCATGACTTTATCACTGTGAAAGGATCATAGTAAAGTTAAAATATTTCCATTCAGCCTGTGTGACCCTTCCTAGTAATAGAAACATAGGGTAGGAGAGGTTATGTTCATAAGGGTTTTTTGTTTTCTTCATCTCTCAGGTATATAAGATGAGGAAACAAAAATAAGAATATGAGAGCTGACTTCTTCCAGGAGACAATATTTTTTTTTTTTTTTTTTTTTTTTTTGAGACAGAGCCTCAAGCTGTCCCCCTGGGCAGAGTGCCGTGGCATTACAGCTCACAGCAACCTCCAACTCCTGGGCTCAAGCGAGTCTCCTGCCTCCGCCTCCCAAGTAGCTGGGACCACAGGCGCCTGCCACAACGCCCGGCTATTTTTTGGTTGCAGCCGTCATTGTTGTTTGGCGGGTCCGGGCTGGGGATTCGAACCCGCCACCTTAGGTGTACGTGGCTGGCGCCTTAGCCGGTTGAGCTATAGGCGCCGAGCCCCAGGAGACAATATTAATAAGTTGTCATTCTTGGACTAAACTCCTGGCACTTTCCTCTCTTAACCTTCTGCTGAAGAGAACCCCACCTTACTACCTTCCCATTATTATTTAGCAGAGTAAAAAAACATATTAGGCTTCTTGATACTCCATCTGCCAAGATTGACCAATAGTTCTGGATCTTTGTTCACATCTTCTCTGAAAGAATGTTTAATAGAAAATTGATTAATTTTGTTGGCTTTTTCTTTAATAAGATATTACTTTCATCATGTGCAACTAGAAAGTATACAAACGCCCCCTTTCCTTAGATATTTTGGAATTCATAATATAAGCAACACAAATGGATTATTAAGATATTCGTGAAGTTGGAAAAGAATAAAATGGATCCATTTTAAATCAAAACATGATTAGTGTGTTGTTTAACTTATTACCTCATTGGCCAATTTTGAGGCACGTAGAGAATATTCATACACACTGCTTTAGCAAGTAAGTTCTTCAAAGATAGGTTCTTTAAAGAAAGAATGAGTTTTGTGTTAAAAAAAAATAACTACTTTAAAGAATCAGAGTGTTTCTATTGGTGAAGATACTAAATATTGACTGTGACCCTTTCCTCATCCTTCATGTTCCTCCAAATGCACGCAGCTCAAGCTAAGCTCATTGCCAGTGTGTTGTGAGGACAACCACTATTTAATTTCTGAAGTTGGTACACTTGAGTGCAAATGTGGATAGGGTTTAGGAAGGTTAACTAAAGTTACTATGACTAGGACTAGTAGCAGAATTTTTTATGCATTAATCCTCTGGTCAGGAAAATAAGTTGAAGAACTATTTGATATAGTAATTTTTTTCAAATTATTGACCACATAGTTTTTTCCCATAAATTGTATTTTTGCATTTTATTGTATCATTTTTTTTAAATTTGAGGCTCACAATGTTTCATTTGCTCATGAATAAAAATGTCTCTATAGTCATGAGACTAACTTTTAGTTTCTTCAGTATGAAAATTTATAATTTAGCAAGCTTTAATGGTACCTAAGCATTTTTGAAAGCTCTTAAAATAGAAACCATATGATTGGATAGGCAGTTTAGATAACTAATACCACATTTTAGGTCCTTAAATAAGCCAGTAAGGGAAAACACATAAATTACCTCCATTTCTGAAAAATTACACAAAGCCTTTCATTATTTTGATACAATGTTGCATAGATAATTATTAATCAAGTGGATTAGAATACAGGTCCTAAAATTTTTATTGTCTGACTAATTCTATAAGTTGATTGCTCCCATAGTCTGCAGTGACTAAACATAATTAAATCTTTTCATTAGATTTAAATACATTTTCTCATGCTCCAAATCTATTTATCTATCTATTCCCTACTTCATTTCTGGCCAAGATGGAATAATAGAGATCTTATTTACCCTCCTGTATAAAATAAACCCAAAACCAGGCAAAATATGTGAAACAATGGTTTTCAACATGGTTGACATCAAGCACTAAAAGTGATTCTTGAAAGATGACAAACAAATGAGATTTGTGTTATGATTATCTCAGCTTATAACTTGGGAGTTTCTAAGCAATAGTGAAAGGCCTGGGGAAGCCTTACAGATCTCCAAGGTGAGCAGACTGTTGCCAAGAGTATACCATGGCAGCTAGAGATAATAGGG